AAATACTTTTGGCCTTCGCCTCAACACAACTAGAGCACGGGAGAAACGAGGAACAATTAACCGATTTATTGCCAAGCAACTGCTGTTTGAACATCAATTGTAACCGACTCGAGTTTGGGTGACCAAGACGATTATGCCAAAGACTCCAATGACTGTCTAACTGACTCGAAAAAGCACTAAGAGGACACGAAGGGGAAACCGAACCAGACACACTAGACACCTGAGAAGATGATGACGACTCACAACCTCGACTCGAGAGCTCCTCCAGAATAAAGGTACGACCTGTTTTACTCCCTCTTCCGATCTGCCTCCCCGTCGTCAGATCCTGAACAAAGCACCCAGATGGTGCAAACAAAACGGAACAATTATCATCAATCAATTGGCCGACCGAAACAAGATTCGGATGAAGATCAGGAACATGAAGCACATTATTTAAATGCACATTAGGCTGCTGAAGGACACCAAGACCTCTGACTGACATATGTTCTCCATTTGCTACTTGTAGCTGCAGGTTATTGACAGGAGTAATACGACAAAGGGACTTGGAGTCACTAGTCATGTGATTGAAACATGCAGAGTCAAGCATCCATGGTTTAGATTTACCTGATACTTGGAGAGCAGCAAAGGCCGAATTGATCGCTACGGGAAGGGACTTTTGTAATGCCGAATTGATCAACTTCTCGATGGCTTCGGCGGACAAGGAGGATGACCCAGCAGCAGAGTTGGCAGGCTGAACAGCAAAGGAGGAAGGTGCTGCACGAGAGGGGTTGGAGTCGGATCGGCTGGACGTGGCCGAGTACTGCTGGCGGCGCTGAAGGGTGCGGCACTCGCTGATTATATGACCCGAGCGCTTGCAATAGACGCAAAAATTGCGTTTTTTGCAATGCTTTTGAACATGTCCTTTTTCATCACAAAATACACAGGTCAGCTCAGTGGCAGGTGGTCGGCGATGAAATTGGGGACGATTGGCAGCATACACATGATGATCATCATCATGTCGAACTTCAGCAGAGAACACAGCTTCACTTGCCCCAGGTCGGAGATCAAACTTCTCTTGTGCACGGAGGCGTGTCTCTTCTTGGATGAGACGTGCTAAGACCCCATCAAATTTTAGGTCTTCCCGGTTGATCAAAGCAGAACGAATGGCCTCATATTCTGGCCTGAGTTTCATCAAAAAACGCAGCAGGCGGGATTTGCTACGTTCGGCACGGACTTCTTCAGAAACAGCAGCAGATCGAAGGGACGCGAGAAGAAGATCCTCCTCGGTCCAGAGGCGAACTGATGCATTGTAGTAGGCTGCGACATCCATGTCGCCCTGCTTCAGTGCGGCCAGCTCGGTTTCCAACTCAAACTGACGAGCTGTGTTGGAGGTAGCATACGTAGCGGCAAGATGAGACCACATCTCGGATGCGGTCGTAAACAGACGAAGACCCAGCAGTATAGATGGATCGACTGCGCCCAGAATCCAGGATTTGAGCCTGGCGTTATTCATCACCCAGCGAGACAGCTCCTGCTCAGTAGCAGGGGGAACTTGTGGTTGCGGAAGAGAACCATCAAGGATCGACAGAAGACCCTTGCCTTCAACAAAGATGCGGAATTGAAATTCCCACACCGCATAGTTCTTCGGATCAAGACGGATACTGAGGCGATCGGAATCGCCGGACGAAAGCTCTGATACCATGTTAGAAAATGAAATTGAAATACGAAAGACTCGGATTTACGTGGTATCCCTGAAAAGGTTCAGGACTAGTCCACGGGAGAGCCTCAAGACTCTCCTACTACTGATCGATATTACTTGGTGATCGGCTGCTGTACATAAGAGGAATATATATATGGCCAATACACCCTAGTTCCCTCGGCCATACTTCAAGAGAGGAAGAAAACCCTAGTACACTACGTAAACAAAGGGCCAACAATACAATGTGCACCCGCATGGGCCTGGACATGTGGCACACATGGGCTGGATCCGCTAACACTAATATGCTGCGTCATTTCTGCTTAAAAAATTAAGTGTAACTAAACAAACAACATTACAACCAGGGGCGGAGCTACAGCAGGCCTCGAGGCCCCCCCCCCAATCTCGAAAGTAACATATACGTGGTTTGGGATATTACGTATAAACTAAAAATATTAGTTAGATGTAAAGACGTGGATGGTAATCAAATAATTTCATTTAGTGTAGTGGAAGAAGGCTTCTATTATTATCCTTTGGTCTTGGGTTCGATGACAGATGTTACCAAATTTATGTTTTACTAATTTTAAGCCGTGGTTACTGCTTTCCCCCTTTATTTTTCTACTTAATAGTAAGTCATTTCTTTTTTTCATGGTAAGCCTAAATAATTCCTTCAGTTTACAATTACAACTATTCATTAAAGTCCCTTCCGCTTTTATGGTAAACAATTATTGGATAGTTAAGTATTTCATTTTAGTTATTAATTTACATTTACATCAATTAAGCAATTAATTTTAGTTGATTGAAGCACTTTATTTCAAAATAGACAATTAAGTCTTTCAATATTAAAAACACTTTGACATACATGATGAATATTTGCAATTTTTATTTTCCTTTGAGATACATATATAATGAATAATTTTTTTCTAAGTACTAATATTGGTGGAAATTCATTTTGTAGTTATAGAAATCGAATGTGCCACACAATACTTAAATACATTATTTAATTTTTAAAATTTTCGATTTATAGTTTTCAATATGAAAACATTTTGTGTGATTATAAAATAAAATAAGCATTTTAAATTATTTTGATTATTAGTATTTTTTAACGTTTCGGTAACATATTAAAGAAACTCCGCCCCCCCCCCCCCCCCCCGAATGTTAAATCCTGGCTCCGCCCCTGATTACAACAACACTCTATAATGAATGACTATCAACAAAAATGATTTCTACTGCACAGACAACAAGATTATCTATGAATTATATGGGTCGTTAGCTTGAGTCGAATGAGTCATTTGGTACCAAATAACTCGTTTATTGACAACAAAAAAAAAAAATACATGAGTCATTTGGCTTACATGAAAGTTCCAACTGATTCTATTAAGTCATTTCCAAATGTCTCATATCTATTAGTCATTTCAAAATGACTCAATATTTTAGCTCAATCTTTCAAATTATGTCATTTTCGTAAACCCACTTTTATCCTTGCTTTTCTTTTACTTATTTTCCCTATCATTTTTTCGTCTATCACTGATTTTTTTTATTTCTGCCAAATTTTACAAGCGGCAAGGAGGTTCATCCATTTTATCATCTCCATCATTTTCTCATGACTCTAGCTCCTCGTGTCATTGAAGCTGCCTCCTTCAAGAATGAGTCATCGTTAGCCCGAATGTGAGACTATTGAAGTCATTACCCTTTACAAAGAAACTTAACATAAAAATATTATTTAAAATTAAAAAGTATTATAAATGACTCGCAATCATATGTTGTGTTGGTGCAAAATGATTTTGTTACGTGATTAGTTTTATGAGGATAGGAAACATGATAATGAAATATTAAATGTAAGGGCAAAATGGTAAGATTATACAAAGAACTCATTTACGAATGACTCATCTAAAAACCTTTAAACAAACAATACATTTGCAAATGTATACATTTCTCAAATGTCTACATTAGAACAAATGACTTATTTTGTAAATGACTCCTAACTTCGAGTCCGTATGAGAAAGGTCTGTAAACAAGTAAACAGATTCTCAGATCACAAGCAAGGGTGGATTTTTGGTTATTTCGGTTATAACCGGTAACCAAACGGTCGGTTATCGGTTAATCGAAAGCCCCCCCCAACCGACAACCGACCGAAATAGGCTTCGGTTATCGGTTAACCACACTTCCTCCAAGACCAAAACTATCTTGTCCAACCTCTAATAACCAACCAAATTTCGGTTACATCGGTTCGGTTACATCGGTTACCGATTATTGGTTTAACTGACCGGTTAACCGAAAACTGGTAACCGAAACTCCACCCCTAATCACAAGACTGGTTGTAAACAACTAAAAGGTCTCTATTTTTATTCTTTCTCATTTTTAGTGCAATCATGGTTGTAGGTTAACGGGAGATAATCAAATTATATTACTAGATAGAAAAGAAGCTAATGAAATATGCAACATAGCTATTTTGTATTTTTTACAAATGAAAAATGTAAAATTTTTAGGTACAAAAATGTAAAATTTTTATGATATTAATTTTTCTATTTTCATAAAAAATAATACTTAGGTATCAAATTGTAAAGTATAAACACTGTGGGTACTAAATTTTAGTCTCTCAACAATCCATGAATTCATTAATTTAATTTATTTGAATCTAAATGGATTAAATTAGTTAAATTTTTATTGAATTGGTAAATTGGATTCAAATTGTCATCTCTATATAAGAATAGATAAACTTATATGAGCTAAAAATCAACCAAGAAATTACACTCTATAATTGTAAGTGGGGTGAACTTTACATTCACATTATAGGAGATTGCGAAACTATGGGGAAAATTTGGTGTGCTGATAAGTAGGCTCGTCATACTAGCAAGAACAATAGTTGTTGTAGAATTAAGTTGTAGTGTAGCTTTTCGATATCCAAATTATCAGGCGAGTTAGAGACCTGATGAACCTTTAATTGTGATTGGTTCCCCAATATTTTTTATTTTGATAAATTTTCAGCCATTTGTTAACTAGAAACTAAACTAAACTATTTCTGTTTTTATTTTCTTTCCCTAAAGTCTCAATTAAAGAAACAAACACACCCTTTGGGTGGAAAACAAAAGTTTCGTTTCACATTTACTTCTTTGTGAAGTAGAAACACTATTCATTCATATTTCTCTTATGGACTTGGGCGTCGATAATATTTTCTCCCCCCTTTTTCTCATTATTTTTCAATCCCATTGATCAATGAAACAAAGGGTTCAGTGATCAATTATTATAAAGTCAATAGCCTAATTTGATTTCAAAGTTCAAACTCGATCGACGGTGACAAAAAGATAAAGTTTAAACCTTTACACCTTCGAGTTGCCAAGTAGCGCTCTTGTTGTATAAAATGCCAACCCAGATGCAGTTGAGCTGTGACTCTGTGACTGTGACTCTGCTGTTCCCTCTGCTCCACTCCTCAGTCCCAACTTAAAAAAACTCAACACAAAAAGCATATAATGCTACTGAAATATCAGCATCTCTCAGCTTAGTCTCGTCTCATTAACTCCTAATTCCTCTGCTTCTCTTCCAATGGGAACTAACTCAGTTCCCAAGCAGCTCCGTTTCTGCTGCTGCTTCTTCTTCTTCTTCTTTTTGCTGGCTGTTTCAGAGGGCACAGTGACATACGACAGGAAGGCCATTCTCATCAATGGGCAGAGGAGACTTCTCATGTCTGGCTCCATTCACTACCCCAGAAGCACCCCTGAAGTAACTTGCTACATTTCTCCGTTAAAAGATGTGAACTTTTTGTCTGTTTGTAAGATTTTGGTTCTAGTTTTGAGATGGGTTTTCAAGATGCTTTTGTGTCTATGTGTGTGCTAGATGTGGGAAGATCTCATTCAGAAGGCTAAAGATGGAGGCCTGGATTGCATTGACACTTATGTCTTCTGGAATGGACACGAGCCTTCTCCTGGCAATGTATGCAAAAAGCTTCCTCTTGGATCTCTCTTCTTCATGAGGGCTTCTAAGCTTTGTCATTAATGGCTTCTGTTCTGTGTTCTTTTTTTTTTTTTTTTTTGGTGGCAGTATAATTTTGAGGGAAGATACGACTTGGTAAGGTTCATTAAGACGATTCAGAAAGCAGGTCTCTATGTTCATCTTCGCATTGGACCTTACGTTTGTGCTGAATGGAACTTTGGGTAAATTCTAGTTCTCTCCATTTCTCTGGTTCATTCCCCCTTCTTCTCTAATTGCAGTATAAATGCTCTTTTGTTCTTGCTTTTTTCAGGGGATTTCCAGTTTGGTTGAAGTATGTTGATGGCATAAGCTTTAGAACCGACAACCAGCCTTTCAAGGTTCTTTTTGCCCCCCCCCCCCCCCCCCCCCCAGTTCTCCTGCAAACAATTGAGAAACCCACTGTATTAGAAGATGAAAATTGCTAACCAGGGTCGGTAATTTTTCTTTTTTTCTGTTTCAAGGCTGCTATGCAAGGTTTCACAGAGAAGATTGTTCAGATGATGAAGAATGAGAAGCTGTTTGCTTCACAAGGCGGGCCAATCATCCTTTCTCAGGTAAATTTGGTGGATGGAAAAAGGGAAGCAATTTCATGTGATTTCTTGGCTTTATTAGCAAAAGTATGTCAAAAAGAATTGTTGATCCCATAAAAGGAGAAATTCAAACTGGGTCTTTGAACAAAGAGAAAAACTCAAAATCTTTTGAGTCATGTGCCTTACATTTGGATTCTTGTGTGTTAGATTGAGAATGAGTATGGACCAGATATAAAGGCTTATGGTGCAGCTGGTCAAGCTTACATGAACTGGGCTGCTAAAATGGCTGTTGGATTAGACACTGGAGTTCCATGGGTTATGTGCAAGGAAGATGATGCTCCTGATCCTGTGGTGGGTTTAATCTTAATCTCTCAAAACATCCCGGGATGATATGAATTTCCCCTTTTTCTACTTGATGGTGGATCTTAATTAGTTGATTTACACTCTTGTTTGAATCTTCTTGCAATAGATAAATGCATGTAATGGCTTCTACTGTGATGATCTAACTCCCAACAAGCCTTACAAGCCTGCACTATGGACTGAGGCTTGGACTGGCTGGTAAGTGTTTGCTCCTTCTTCCCCTATTCCTCTTCTTGAGGCATAATTGTGCTGAATCTGTGCTCCTTAACCGTGGTTGGAAGGTTTACTGAGTTTGGAGGTCCGAATCACCAAAGACCAGTTGAAGATCTGGCATTTGGAGTTGCTCGGTTCATCCAAAAGGGAGGCACATTTATTAACTACTACATGGTTGGTTGGTTTTTTTGCCTTGCTTTCGTGTTCTAGGTTGGAAACAATTGTTCATTGCTTCTTGGATATGGTTTGATGTAGATATGTCTGGTTTTTGGCAGTATCATGGAGGCACGAATTTCGGGCGATCTGCTGGTGGCCCGTTCATCACAACAAGTTATGACTATGATGCTCCAATTGATGAGTATGGTAAGATAAATAGTCCAGAATATGGATCATTCAAATCATGTGTCCTGCATAGTTGGGCTAAAGCATGTTTTCCTCTTTATCCAGGCCTGATCAAGGAACCAAAATACAGCCATCTAAAAGAGCTTCACAAAGCTATCAAACTGTGTGAAATTGCAATTTTGTCCTCTGATCCAACAGTTACTTCGTTAGCAACTTATCAACAGGTAATCTTTAAACTTTGGTTTCCCCTTAGACAGATGAATGAAAAGTTCAGCAGCAGCTTAATGATCAATTCATTCTATCTCAGGCTCATGTGTTCTCAGGCCAGGGGAAATGTGCAGCCTTTCTTGCTAACTACCATATGAAGTCTCCTGCTAAGGTGACTTACAACGGTCTGCACTATGACTTGCCTCCTTGGTCCATCAGCATCCTTCCTGATTGCAGAAATGTAGTCTTCAACACTGCCACGGTGAGTAAACCTTCTTAACAAGCTTTCGCTGCAATCAAGGTAGTCACCTATAGATAGAATCGAAACACCAAGGGAACTGCAGGATCATAAGTTGTGTGACATATTTTCTTGGCTGTGAGAAAGCCAATCAGCTTATAAAGCTATTATTGTGCAGGTTGGAGTTAAGACACCAAATGTGCAGATGTTGCCAACCGGTACTAGATTGATGTCGTGGGAGACTTACGAGGAAGATATCAATTCTGTTGAGGATAGCTCGAGGATGACGGCTCGTGGGCTCTTGGAGCAGATCAATGTCACTAGAGATACTAGTGACTACCTGTGGTACATGACCAGGTGAGTTTAGGTTTGCTGCAATAATAATCTAAGAAAACCTTGAATGTTCTTTCTTGTTGAGTATCTTCTCTACTTTCCAGCGTCCACATTGGACCATCAGAATCATTTCTCCACGGTGGACCTAAGCCAAGTCTCAGTGTACAATCTGCAGGCCATGCTCTCCATGTTTTTATCAATGGACATTATTCTGGTAAGCTATATCTAGATGTAGTTTGAACTCTGTTGTGGCCATGGCAGTTATATCTCGATTCGACTTCTATGCTTTACGACGATTCCTGTTCTACATAGTTTGTCAGAATTTCATGTAAAATAATATGCACTTCCAAATAACAGGATCAGCCTTTGGGACTAGAGAAAACAGAAAGTTGACCTTCACAGGACCAGTCAACTTACACCATGGAACAAACAGAATTGCACTGCTCAGTGTAGCTGTCGGCTTACCGGTATATTTCGAAAATTTCCATCCTCTTCATGGATAAACAGAATCAGCACAACTTACATACTACTCACACCACTGTGACCGTGTCATCATTTTCCTGATGATTTTTTTTTTCTCAGAATGTTGGACCCCGATTCGAGACGTGGAACACTGGAGTTGAAGGCCCCGTTATGTTACACGGCCTGAACAAAGGCGATCGAGACCTGACGTGGCACAAGTGGTCCTACCAGGTCGGCCTACGTGGCGAGTCGCTGAACTTGGTCTCGCCAACTGGAGTCTCCTCGGTGGACTGGCTTCAAGGCGCCCTAGCCTCGAAAGGACGAAGTCAGCAGCAGGCTCTGAAGTGGCACAAGGCTTACTTCAATGCACCGGGAGGAAATGAGCCACTAGCTCTCGACCTGCGAAGCATGGGGAAAGGCCAGGCCTGGATCAATGGCCAGAGCATTGGGAGGTACTGGATGGCTTACGCGAAAGGCGAGTGCAATGGTTGTAGCTATGCTGGCACGTATCGCCCCGTAAGGTGCCAGCTCGGATGTGGGGAGCCAACTCAGCAGTGGTACCACGTCCCGAGGGCTTGGCTGAAGCCTAGAGGGAACTTGTTGGTTGTGTTCGAGGAGCTTGGTGGCGATGCATCGAAGATCGCTCTCGTTAAGAGGACTCTGAACTAAATAAAGGTGACTACACTAAATTAAGGAACTGATAACTACCGAGGAGGAGATGGAGATCCCATATCTTAAGAAGTGTAATTAGGTATTATTTATACACTTTGGCGGTCTACGTTGTAAGAAGAAGAAGAAGAAGAAGAAGAATAAGGGGCAGAGGTTTACAGGGCAATGGAGTTTCATTCAGTTGCAGTGTTATAAGGAAATGTTTCATTAGTTGTTCGATATCTTGAAGTGTGTTCTGTATAGTGGCGGCTTTAAATTGGCTGCATTTCCTTGCGGTGTTCTATGAAAGTGCCATGGAAAATGAGCAGTTGGGATTCTAACTCCAATAGTTACTGGAAACCATCTGTGAGGTTCGATCGGTCGATCAACCTCAGACATTGCAAATGAAGTATGAACTATACAACCAAAACCGAAACTGGGAGAAAATCGCATACATCTGCATATACGAAAAATTGAGCAAGAATCATAGGCACTCCATTTCTACCGTCTTGGTTTTGTAATGATGCCCACGTAATTATTGAGAAGGTGCCGGCTAGTGATGTTTCTCACGCTATAGAAGGTGGTCTGCTCGAGGAGTTTGAAGTTCTTCGTGCTTTGTTGCATCGCTTGTCGGTTCAGTTTATTTTTAGTAAGTATAATTGAATTGCACATTTCGTATATAAAAAAAAACTCTTTTATCGATGGTTCAGCTACTAATCAACTATCATTTTTATTCCTATTTTCTTTATGATTGCTGCAAAGACTATTTGTTCCATTGTGGAATACCTTTGGCTTTGGGTAAGAAAAAAAAAACTCACACAACTAAACTAGAAAGATACACATAGATCCGCTACTTATATTATTCTGAATCGTTAAAGGTCGTTATAAAATTAGTAAAATTCCTACTGACTTTAATATGTAAATTATTTATGTGCCCAAATTAAAGTTCTGATTAGACCTTAAAAAAAGTTCTAATTAGACACCCTACCAAACAACCCCTCTCTACTCTCTAGCTCTCACTCTCCTCTTTATGATTTTATATAGAGAATTAAAATTAATTTTATCATATAGTTAAAATTTAATTCATTTTTACGAATTTAATTAACAAAATAATTCAAATTTCATTTGGACCATTGGCTGAACAATGCCACCAATTTGTTTGGCCATGGAAAAAGGAAAAATGCATTTCATTTGGTCCCATGGTGAAAGGAGCATCAATTCCGTTTGTGCTATGAGAGTAACAGACAAGGATTTCGGGTCTTATAGATGTAAATGAAGTTTATTTCGTGTGAGTTGTTATTTATGTATTTTTGGTGATTATACTTTTAAGATGTTGATAGTTAAGTTACAAGTGAGAGGATAAGTATTTTCTTATTTCTTTAATCAAATTAGTATTTATTTATTTTTTTCGTTGAATTAGTATTTATTTGTTGAAGGTAAGATAAAGAGACAAAAATATAATATGAACTTTGGTATAATTTAGAATGATAGTTAATAATTTTATGTATGATTTTTATCAATTCTCTTATGATTCGCCAAATTATATCGGTGAAAACGAGTTCTCGTCTAAAGAAACATGAAAAAGGTGCTTCATTATTCCAATATATCGTGTCGGTCAACTCGGTTTCCCTGCATCTCTTTCTTCTTTCTTCTCCCCTTCCTCCTCTCCGTGTTTTTTTGGTTGAATTCTCCGTGTGTCTTTGACTCAATATATATCCGCGCGTATTTTGGTTTCTCATTCAGTCAAACTAAAAGGAAAGAAACCCCATTTCCATAACCAAAGAAAAGAATCAAACACACCGAGCATAATCGTAAACCCACAGCCCAAGTATCTCCTCCGCTTGTCAAAGTAAAGTCTCTGAGGTATTTCAATTTCTGTTGTTTTATTTGTCTTGGTCAGTTTCTTAGGGTTTGTTCTGGTTCCCTGGCTGCTTGCGAGAGTCGATTGCTCTGTTTACAACTGAGACCCCCTTTGGTTCATATTAAAATTCGGTTTCTTAGGGTGGCAAATGGCTTGAGTTCCAGTTCTGGTGATTAAAAATGTAGAAAAGGGATTACCGGGAGAAGCCAAGCTCTCAATTCTGCTAGTTTGAGTGACTGGGGTTTCTTTCTACTCCTCTTTTGTCCTGGGTTTGAAGAGGAACCGCTGGCTGAATTCAATTCTTTTTCTTAATTTGTAAGAGGAGTACATGCCATCTTGAACTCCTTTCAGTGTTCTTTTGTATGTTGGTTTTGGTTGGTTCATTGAAATCATTTGTTCTATGCTAGAGAAATGAGGCGACTTTCCCATGTGATGTAATGATTCAGAACCTTGGAAGCTTAGATTTAGGGTTACAGATATTATGAATTTTTCTGCCAGTGGTATTGCAAGTAATCATTTATCTTTCCATTTTTGGTTTTGCTTTTTCTCAGGTGGGTTTGATTTCTGTTAGAGATAACCACCACTATCAGGCGAGATTTGTATATCAGCATGGACACACGCCAACTCTTTGGATTTGCTGTCACTGGTGCGACGGGAATGTCGTATTCGTCTCCTTACCGGACTGTTTCCTCGGTGGTGCCTGACAGGCTATTAGGCTCACTGATGTTTGAGACAGCAGGGAATTCAGTAGCTAGCTCACCATATTCTTCACATCAGTTTGATAGTGAAACAGTTAGTTCCATGAGCGACAGCCAGGAGCAACTCAGCTCTGCACAGTCTCTCTCTGGATGCAGCCAATCTGGGGGTAACTCTTCTTCTGAATCCAACAGTAACTTCCATCGTTCCTCGCGAACCAGTCTCCAGCTCTTTCCTTGTTCAGAATCTACCTCGCAAGATGCGCGTTCTAGCCCTGACATGAAACATGCGTTGGAGCAATTGGAGACTGCTCTCATGGGACCTGACGAGGACATGGCTGAACCTAGTGATTACCACGGTGAAAGTGATCAACCACAGACACCGGCTCAAGAGACTAGGGCATGGAGCCAAGAGGACCAGCACCAGGGTTCTCATGTCATCCAGCCTCAGCCCATGTTCATCTCACGCCCCCGGCAATCAGAAGGTGGTGGTCCTGTTGAGAAGCGCCATAAAGCAGTAATGCAAGAAGATGCAACTTTACAAAGTTCTCAACCCAGCAATTTGGAGAAATTGTTGATTGCCTGTGCCAAGGCTCTTGCTGAAAACAACATGACTGGTTTTGAATGCCTTGTGGAGAAGGCTAGAGGTGAGGTCTCCATCACAGGGGAACCAATCCAGCGCCTTGGTGCTTACCTGGTAGAGGGGTTGGTGGCAAGGGAGCAATCGTCAGGAAATAAAATCTACCGTTCCCTCAAGTGTAGGGAGCCCGAAAGCAAGGACTTGCTATCTTACATGCAGGTTCTGTATGAAATCTGCCCTTACCTCAAGTTCGGTTACATGGCAGCCAATGGAGCTATTGCTGAAGCTTGCAGGAATGCCACACAGATACACATAATTGATTTCCAGATCGGTCAAGGGACACAATGGATGACCCTTCTTCAGGCTCTAGCAGCCAGACCAGGGGGAGCTCCACATGTGCATATCACTGGTATTGATGACCCTCTCAATAAGTATGCTCGTGGTGGGGGCTTGGAAGCAGTTGAGAGGAGATTGGCAGCACTCTCTGGGAAATTCAACATCACAGTGGAGTTCCAAGGCCTGCCAGTTTTTGCCCCAGATGTAACCCGAGAGATGCTTGATATCCGGCAAGGTGAGGCATTGGCTGTGAACTTGCCGTTGCAGCTGCACCACACTCCAGACGAGAGTGTGGATGTGAACAACCCTAGGGACGGGCTTATTCGAATGATTAAGTCCCTCAATCCCAAGGTCACCACTCTTGTGGAACAAGAATCGAACACCAATACGACTCCTTTCCTGAACAGGTTTGGGGAGACTCTGGAGTACTATTTGGCCATATTTGAGTCGATTGATGTGACCCTTGCAAGGGACAGGAAGGAGCGTATTGGGTTGGAGCAGCATTGCTTGGCTAGGGACATGGTGAATGTGATTGCATGCGAGGGGAGGGAACGGGTGGAAAGACATGAACTGTTCGGGAAGTGGAAGTCTAGGTTCACAATGGCTGGGTTTAAGCAGTACCCTTTGAGCTCCTATGTCAATTCCGTGATCAAGAGCTTGCTTAAGTGCTACTCCAACCATTATACTTTGATTGAGAAAGATGGAGCCATGTTATTGGGTTGGAAAGACAGAAACCTGATCTCTGCTTCCGCCTGGTACTAAGCTAGGTGCTGAATGTCTTCTTTTCCCCAACTAAATGTAGTAAACTATAGTTCCATTCAACTATTCATACTGTATTGTATAGAAAGGAGCTGGCAGCCAGGAATTTGTCTTAGTTTTATGTTGTAGATACCATTTATTTGTAGCAACTATATATCTCTTCACTCACCTCTACGCCCACAAAATGCCGCCTCCGCCCCGAAGAAGAATAAGCAAGTCAAAGGAATTTTTTGTTCCAAAGTTACGAGGAAATGTTCGTTAGTCTGTTTGATTCTTGAAGTTTGTGCTCGTACTGTGACGGCTGTGTTTGTATGGAAGTGCCATGGAAATGAGTTGGGATACTATGGCAATGCAGGCAACCAAGTAGTGTGACAAAAAATAAATTCGGGTTACGAAATCAACTGTTTGAATTGAATACGTTGAATACTAATTTGTGATATGACAATGAGTGAGTGAGCACCTCAACTGTTTAGTAGCTAATACTAGTGTCTAGCAGTACTCTAGCTATAGTCCAGTTGAGAACCAAATTAATACAAGACTCAACTAAACTGGTACACGAAAAAAATCATGCAGTTGGTCATTTACTTCAAACAAATCCTTGAATCGATTCGTTCATTGTTGGACTAATCATTAGACCGTCCTACAAATCATGAATGGATTACAATGAAGACATGTTCAATTGCTCAATAGGGACAACAAACACAATTCATCCAAATATCAACAGCTCGAAATTGACAGAGACTGCGTGTTTGTTGACTATTAAAAGGGAGACTCTAGCTACTATTCGCAGTAGCAGTTGAACCTGTTCTAGAGGACAAATTGATTTGAATAACAGGACAAATTGATAACAGAACAGTGAGAAATATCCATTCACGAGATTAGTACGGACTACAGAACACCATGAACAATCCATAGATTGTCATTATCATAATCAGTCACGAAACATAAACAACCACTGATAGAAACAAGCAAATAACTAGATAAAGCCTCCATTCCATTTTCCACTGCTAGCTGCTCAAGCTGAAGCAACCTTGGCGGCATGCTTATCAATGGACGCCAGCAATTCGTCCTTCTTGGCACCCACAACCTTGTCCACCATCTTGCCTTCCTTGAAGAAGATAAAGGTCGGCATGGCCTCCACTTGATGCTCTTCAGAAACAGCCTGCAAAAGCGAACACGACACACACACATATCCCGAGTTCAGACTTCCGGAGTTGGTTCGAACTTGTATTGAAGTTGTGGTTTTCATGTTAAGGATACAGCAGAATGAATTTCATGACAGGATCGTAGGAGTTGGGTTTGAATATTACTCACCCTCAGTTCATCCACATCAACCTTGAGAAATACGACATGAGGCATCTTCTTGGCGACATCTGCCAGAATTGGCGCAATGAAACGGCATGGCCCGCACCAAGAAGCAGTGAAATCCACCACAACCTGCCCGAAAAAGAAACAATCAATTTAAGTGCCCAGTAGAAAAGATTGAAATTTTTTGGAAGAACTGATAAGAACCCTAAGAACCCAGATGGCCAAAGTGAAAATCAATCAATTTGGAGACGAAATCAGCAGTTGCGCAACGAGAATACAAAGAACCCGCATTAAAAAAAAATCGAAGCCAAGCCAAACATCTAGGTCAAATTCTTACGAACAAATAGGTTTCTAGCGATAGTAAGTATTAACCAATTAGATCTACAGAAAGCTTGAGAACACAGACGGGATCATAAATTTACCAGTTTCTTGGACTCTGCAGCCTTGGTGAAGTGTTCCTTCCAGACCTCGACGGTGTGGCAGCCAATAACTTGTCCTTCTTCCGCCATTCTTTCTTTCTTCTGAGCTGAGTAGAAAAAGATGTTCCTTTTGGCGTTTGTTCTACGAAAATTGATGATTCACAAAATCGCTGGGGAAAGGGATGTTTGGCTTCACGCTAACCGATCCGTTTATATAGTGAGCCTGGCTGATGCGATTTACAAATTTGTACTCCGGATGAGATGTTAATTACAGGAGTGTGCCATTCTTAGAGACGCGCCGAAGGAAGCAGATGTGATGCGTTTCAATACGTCACGGGGCATACACGCGCTTACGATGCCGTGGGAATCTGGGCAGCCGGCGGGAAGGACCGGTCGTGCGGACCACGGTGCCAGCGCCCGGGTATGAACGGCGGAGTTAGATAATCTCGGCGACGGCGGGCTTTCTTGATTGGCGCGTGGTTCGTCCCGCGAATTTTATATTTGCTGGTTAGCCGACTGAATTCCCACGTGTGGATATCGCGCCAGCTGCCGATAGTTCCGTCATGGGCTGGGCCTTTGGGGAATTCATTCCATGCGGCTGGATCTGCGCTTTTGGCAGATCAATTGCAAAGTTCACGTTTAAGTTGGACTCCAGGATAACGGGTTGGGTTTTGTATACCCAAATCTACTTCGTCGGTGTTTGGTGAGTGATTGTACGCTCAAGATTTGGCAAATTAGCTAGATTACAAGGTTGTCGATCCTCTTTGACTCTGATCCGATGAGAAAAATGGGTCGCATGCACCCGTCGGGTTGACCGCTATAAGATATCGGGTTGAAGGTCAAATTGTGTTGTTTTTTTCTTTGATTTGTGAAATGTCCCTATTCTCCGATTTTTATTTTCACCTAACTCAAACTTTGGAATTCTAAGTTGAACATTTGAATATTGATTTTATTATATAACTGTGTGAATTTTCACTTATGTTGGATCCAAATACGACATGTTATTTTTGGTATAATATTATATGTTATAACTCATATGTTAGATGAGATTTGATATAATTTATCAGGATAAGTACAATATAACATAGTTAGTAAAATACGGTACGGGAAAGTTACGTATACAATACGTACGGGTATTATACTTCGCCTCTTAGCTAATGTTACGTTTAATAGTACATTAATAGTCATAAATATATAGAATTAATTATTTTTATAAATAAATAAATATGTAAAAAATAGTAAAGTTAATAATTTATTTCATTAAATACGGATATTAAACGTGTTATACGGGTTTTATAAGTGTTTAGTAAGGGAACCGTCAAATGAACGGAAACTAATGAAACGGCTTGACAATAATACGGATACAGAAGTTTTAAACGGATAAAGTACGTACGGGTACATATACGTGTATTAAACGGAGTATTTACTAACTATGCAATATAATGCATTTTTCCATATTTCTAGGCCAAATCGGGCTAAAACGATTGACCCATTAACCCTTGACTCACTAGTTTGACTGGGTCCGGGTCAACCCGCGGGTTGACAACCTTGCTAGATTATCATGAAATTTTATTTCAGTTTATTATTTTGTTATGATTATACTTAAACCATTAAACCATGTTTATCTGAGATTTTTGAACAATTACTAGCAGTAATTTTGTAAGATAAATAATGCATATGCTTTTTGTATTAAACGTTGTTTAGTTTGGAGATAAATTTCATATTATATTTTCGAACAATGTGAATTATGTGATATTTCTAAATGCACGATGTAAACTCACAAAACTCATTCAATCACCCATTATCCGCAACCAGTCAACTTAACCCACCCACAGGCACATGCATGAGTGGTTGTGGAACATTTTCTCCTTCACCCATCACGTACCAAAATTCGTGTAAAACCATCCACTATTTATCCCTACATTTAAAGATAAAAAAACTATTTTTATTGCTTATTGGTTTGATCTTTGGTGTGGTCGATACACTAAATTTTTCATTGTTTCTCTCAACATTGACTGCTTGGAGCAAATCGTATCAGATCGCATTGGCGTGGTCTGATATGGACCATATAATATTTGGTCTAGCCTATAATATGTGCTCTAGCCCTTTGATACATATCATATGCTTTCCCGCCCTAGTTAGTGTTGGCGAGGTAAAATAACTCATCACCCTGGGTATCTGACCGAATTCGAATCAATTTTATTTTGGGAATATCTAACCAATATTCTCTTTGGGTGGGTGTTCTCCGAACCCGACAAGGAGAGTAATGAGTTTGGTGCAGTTTTGACATTTTAAGTATCCACATTTACCCACCCGAATATGTGTTATAACTATGTTCTACAGTCACTCGCTTAAATGCTTTGTTCATCCATATTACTCAAACATTTGATTATATTTTACACCCCACATTGTTTTGGTTAAGTGGATAGTTATGATTTTAAAACCGTAATTCGAGAATAGTATATAGGAAAACCGGTCCGACCAAAACTTGTTGCCATCCTAGGCGAGTGTGAATGGATAGTTGTTAAAAACGACTAGAAATTTAAAACTTCCCACCGATTGGATGGTCGTCGTCCATAAGTTTTTAGATTTCGTGATTCACCTAAATTCGGAAATCTCACAATTATCTCCTAAAAGAAAGGAAAAATTCAAGTGCATAGCCATAATCATTGACTTTCTGACAATAATAGCCAATTTCTGAGAAATACATAAAAAGTTTAGATTTTGGAAATATATTTGAAAAATTTAATCACCTTCATTAAAAAAATTAAAGTCGTTAGAGATTTCGTCAGTTACATTAACAAGACGTTGACGAGGATGCCACATTGATGCATGTGTCAGCGACAACTCGACATGCCATAACATGAGGACGCCACATCATACTTTTAATGGCAAAATACACTTGTATAGTCTTACTATCCATTTTGTAACAATAATAGACAATTGCATGGAGTTCTTTTAAATGCTGACAGGACTGACGTTTTGCTTATTTGGTGACACTTAATAAAAAATATTGTCGCGTGGAATTGATTAAAAAGCACAAAAAAACAAGAGAAGTAAAATAAAGCGAAATGGTCATCCACCTCCAATTCGCCCCAACCCCTTCTCCTTCTTCCAATCACACGCCTCTACCCCTTTTCACCTTCGTCCATCGTTTGTGATTGGTGGCTCCAACCAGGTCTTCCTCTATTGTTGACTGGAGAACTGTTGGGGAGAGGCAAAACTGCTCTTGATGGTCTCCACCAACAGCGGAATCCCAACTTATTCCACGAGAAATGGGTGCAGCAGGGAAATGTATTTTGCTAGAAAGCAGAGAACCAAGCAGTCATGGACGTCGAGAAGTGTATTTTCCAGTGCTATCAGAACTAAACTACATGTTTGAAATGTAACCACAAAACTTCGACCCCGTTCGTTAATTTGGTCCCGAATATTGACATTGTTTCTGATGTGAATAGAAATGAAGAAAAAATACTTAAAATAGCCAAGTCAAAGTAGTTCACTTGTGCCATATTGATGAAATATAAAATTGAAATTGATTATTTAACTTAAGAAGTCCACTTGGGATACTAAAAGTAGCATAAGGAGATGGACCATAATGCCTTTATTGTTACTTGCTTTTTTTTTTTGAATTAATTTGATTTGATTATCTTTTTTTGTACCTGGTCAGATTGGTGTTCATAACCAATCAAAATTAAAACCATTTATTGTCGAACAGATGCAATGGTTGGCTTATACCCATCTGATCATATGCAATAGCTAAATGCCTAAATCGATGCAATGGTTAACTTATATATATCCAGTCAAACTGCCCCAATCGAATCAATACAATTCTTTGAGTGAAATCTCTCTGTCCAAATATTAACAATATACTCGAACCATAGCATCACTTCATATTTACTCTTCATTTTCTATAAATAACACCAACTCCCTATTTTATACATAAGTTTTGTAGCACCAAAACAACGTGAAATTTACCTTTCCCACCCCTCAAATCCTGGCATCTCTGGCAGTGTCTGCTACAGCGATAAACAGTCGTGACCGCCTTATTAGGTCGCGGCGGTTTGCTGGCACACACCTCTCGTTCAGCAATCTGCAGTGGAGCCTTTGCCGCAACCCTAACAACCTTGTTGGGCCTTTCAACCGCCGTGGGCGGAACAATCTCCTTCCTCTTCTTCTCCCTGCACGATGCCTTAGGAGCATTGACAACATCGTCGACAGACATCATGGTCACCACAGACGAGTAGTCCACACCTACAACAAAAATTCGTTAGAGAACCGTTAATATTACAGAAGGCAGATACATAGGAGAAAAACTAACCATCTTCAAAAAGTTCCGCAAGGCGAGCCACTTGGACTCCCCCACGGTAGAGATCAATCTTCCCTTTAGCACTACCATCCTTCCAGACTGTGGGCTCTTCGACATACTCACTAGCCCACTCACCCGGAGCAGGCTTCACGAAGAAGAAATGCTTGAACCAGTCTTTGTCCAGCTTCGGCGACCCATACACAAAGTCGTCGGGCCGCTTGTCACGCTGCCGCAATGACAAGCAGTCGCTCTTTCCCTTCTTCGTCGATGCTTTCATTTTATAAAAGGTTCGGAACAACCCATAAGAAGGCTGGATTATGCGCCGCTAACACACAAGGCATAACATCGATAGGTGCATCATCACGGAAGGAGATAAGTGCGCAACAGAGCACTTTAACCTCCGCAACAAAGCACACAACAGAGGGTCTAGCGGAAACTTGAACCCCATCCGCCAGTACTTAGAGTAGATCACAAACCAACCAGAGGGGCAGTTGCCAATGTGACTATGCACACCAGGCAACGCGTACTGCCACGAGGGGAGCAACCCCATGTCGCACACTAGGTCGTTAACCTCCTTCCGCCCCAACACAAAGCAATGATCAGGACCCCGCAAGAGGTTGTCGCTAGGCACCGCCAGGGAACTCGTCTCGAACATCTCTTCCAAATCGAGAATAGTGTATTGGGCATCGATGTAATGGGGAATGAGTCGGCTCATAGCCTCCGAGATGCGTGCACAAGGCGAAGGAAGGTCTGACTCCGTCTCTGAAACCTTCACTGGAGCGAGGACGACGGACCGAGAACTATCCGAATGATCTAGCCGGATAATGAGAACCCCTCGACCGCCCCTTTGGCATTGCTGGTCACCACCTTCCAGTGAATCAGCCGGCTGATCATCTCTGTCATTGGCGTCGTAGGACGGCATCGC